GGTGGATGTTTGTTGCTAGGCCTGCAATCCAATATTTCCGGCTGCAAGAAAAAAGTGCCTTGCGCAACACACGGCATTCGGAAATGTACAGTCCACATCTCGAAGTCTGATTGGGCGTGCCACCGGAGATGACGTGGCAACCACCGCACTTGATAGAAGTTGCGCGGATAAGTTGCTTTCAACACGCTTTGCTGATAACTGGCAGAGTATTGTATCCACACGACACCTACCATGTGCGGTAGCCGCAACGTCGTTTACGGTGACACGCCCAATCAGACTTCGAGATACCAACTGCATTAATCCATGGCAACAAACAAATTAGCTGCTCAGCAATTATTACGCTGTATGTGTGATGTGTCACACTCAAAGGATAGAACAAATTCCATTCTAGTAGGCTGGTGTCAGAGTCCGCGATCCGTCGCAGGTTTCGCTGATTTTCGCGATTTGCGCGATTCACGCGACGGGTCACGGAAATCACAAGTGCCCGATCAATACTGCAAGGTGTTCTCCAATCCTGCCGCCACTTCTGCTTGATAGTGATGGCTGAATGACGACTGCTCATGATTCCACTTGTTCATTTCATTCATTTTCGTACAGTGTTTCAAATGTTCAAATGGGGCAATCGCGAAAATCGCTGTGAATCGCAAAAATCGCGTAGAATCGCGCAAATTGCGAAAATCAGCGAAACCTGCGACGGATCGCAGACTCTGACACCAGCTTACTGCGTAATGAATAAGTACTGCGAGCACAACTGCGACTGCGAACACAAACAAACATCAAATTGATATCACTTTATCTAAAGGAATTCTTTACACAATATACAATGTTAATCCTATGGATGACCAATAGTTTGCCTGTTATCACTACACTAACATACATTTGATGTATGCGCATTAAATGCGAGACCATAGGGCTATGCTTAATTAATATACCACATCGTCAATTCAAATGCAACCAAATGCTTAATACATGACTAATTATCTAAAATATAGCGGATTTGGCACTACTTAAACAAACTAGTAAGTGAGAGGTAATCACCTTAATGAATCATTAGAATTAGTAGGTCACAAAAAGGCAAGGAGCTCAAAGCTAAAATCATAGAGCTGAATCCAAAGAAGGAATGTGAGCAAAAGAAATGATGAGGCGTGTTAAAGGAATCACGACACGAGGGCGGAATAAATCGTCCTCAGCTGCTGGACCTTCGACCAGACACCGCCTTTCGAAATATGCTCATTCAGCTAAAAATCACCAAAGTGGAATCCTTTGCCTCAAAACGATTACATATGGAAAAACGACGTCCTTTCAAAGCACCTCTTTCGACAACAGAAAAGCAGAACACACTTACACAAGAAAGCACTCGGTCATGTTTACCCGTCCATTGTTGTTTGAGTCGAGCGATGTCAGCGCGGATTTCGCGTCTGCCAGCCTCAGTTTTGCACTCATCCAAGTCCCTAAAACAATTGCTATCAAGTGAGGAAAGTTGGATTCCAGATCTTGCAGAAAAGCTCTCTACATTGCAAAACAATACTGGAACCAGTAATTCTTTCAAGTAGTCAATAATACATACACATGTAGCAATCGCATTTGCTCAGAATGAGATCGCTTCTGTCGGGTGAGGTCACGTTGAAGAGCATGCGCGTAGTCCTTACAGCGTGAATCGTAGATTATACTCCTAACTGCAATTTTACAGCTGTTGTCACAGCCATGTACAGCGAAGAAAAACAATGGGTAAGCACCGAACAGTTTGAACTAACCTAACGGCAGCCACTCCTGAAATCGAGTGCTTGTCACTTTCATGACTTGTTGTTGGTTGCCGGCTATAGAAAATGTATTTGAGGCCTGAAAAAATACAGCTCCAAATAGTAGTCAGAAACAGACGCTATACTCAGCCTACCTTTAACCCAGAACCAACGAAGGGTTGCTTCTTACTAGCGGGAGACTTTCTACGAACAGTTGGTAAGTCCTCATCCTCGCTGTCTTCATCATCTGACTGATTTTGAGCAGCCTCATCAGCTGCTTTGTCATCCGTACGAGGTCGCGTTTCAGGCTTTTCAGTCATAATTGCTGCATCGTGCCGCCCACAATCAACAGCTCCTTCTTCGGCAGGTGGTGAAACTTCCTGCAAGAAAACAAGCTCAACTCTTCACTAACCGAAACCTATTGTCTGTAACCTACATCTGAGCTTTTGCTCCTCGGTAACGGATGATAATGAACGTGAGGTCTGAAATGTACTCTGCCTCTACTGTACAATGATCTTCCTATAACAACTGGTCTGCCACGTTTTCCACCACCAGACTTCCGCTGCTTGGGTGCATGGTGACCAGTTTCCTCATTTTCTTGTCCATGAATAGTAGCTCGAGCGGCAGCACCCTCGAAAGCAGCGCTTCCGCCTATACGGTTATTATCAACTGATTGGTAACAATAGCAAAACGATGAACTTGATTATGAACACTCACGCCTCATCACGTCTGCCGAGATGGGGTACTGAGTCGATATCAAGCAACTGATAGCTGTCGTCGGGAGCGGATCTCAATTTGAACGGTTGGAAACGGGGCCTTTCGTCGGAATGAAGCGAACCGATGTGGAAACGGCTTCGTCTTGAACCATGGTCCAGTTCATGCTTGACGCGATGAGTTATGACCACATGACGAACAGGCACTAGAAATCATGCTCAATGGACAAAAACCTGAGTAGCCTACTCGTTACAAAATCGCAAGTCTTCTTCTAAGCCTCTATGTTACAATGCCAAGATAATTAACGCTCAAAAAAGAATAAAACGAAGAATTCACCTTTATGAGTGTTGACACCTTGCTCTCTCAGATGCTTTTCGGAATGCCGATCGAATGCCCCTCTGCCGAGCCTTCGTAAACCAGTTGAGCTGTGTTCTGTGTCCCGTATTCCATTGTCGCTTATCAGCTGGATAGAACCACGAGAGCTTAGTCGAGCCTGTTCCACAGCGGATGTACCGCGGGATCCACTAGCAGGTCTTTCCAATGAAACCCTGAATGAAATAAACAGTTTTACCCTTATCAAACGACTTGCATTGACGCATCGAACTTTCATCTAATTTCACCGCCTCAGTTCTCGATTATGTCATCGCTGATGAAGCAACTCGAATAAGATCACGTTTAGTTAGAAAAAAATTGCAGTATAACATCATTGGCGGCCAAAAACGGATTCTGTCAATAGAACTAACACTTCATCAGGCATCGTGAATGAATCTGGTATAGTTTCGTCTCCTTTTGGGAGAGGAGAGGTGCCACCTTGCGCCCGACCAATTAGATCAAATCCATCTAGGGCTTCTCGAAGTAGACGAACTTCTTTCGTTAATGGATCGCGTCCTGTTGACACCGTGCTCACACTACCGGCACGAGATGATAACGCCTAAAAAACTTAAGCAAACGTAAGGATAACACGATTACAAAAGTCTTCCCTTACTCACCGTGACTAATGTAGGCTGAGCCGACGGGTAGGATGGTGGCCGAGATAATTTCTCTTGCACAATCCTTTCCTTCAAGATGGCTTTGAGGCCATTCATTAACTTGTCACCCTGACTCTTCAATTCTGCACTGAAGCCATTTTCGAGCGACATAGATATTTGACTAGAAGCCCTTCGAAGAGGATCATATATCTAAATAAAAATATTAACAATTTTCAACAAAAGAAGAACGAAGTTTGAACGAAAACGGCCTCAGTTCTCGATTATGTCAACGCTCTTCGGAGTTTCTTGAGCTCGAATAAGATCGCGTTTAGTTATATAAGACTATTAGGACATCATCGGCCTGCTTCTTTAAAATAGGCGAGGAAAACAAGAGTTACCTGTGCTGAGCTACAAACGGACTTCTGCAGACAATCGAAGCTGGACACGCGGGCAATTGGACTTATTTCACGACGTGCCCCAAGAGAGGATTTATGGTGAGCCTTCGATCGTTTGATGGGCGATCGGTCTTTTTTCGTCGATGTATCCAGAGGCTGTGGTAGGAAAATCGAAGATGGAGCTTTCATTTCATAAACGCTCGACTGCTGCCTTCTTGAGATATTCCGAAACACAGGTTGACTATCATCTAGTATCATTGCAGGAGACATTGCAGTCGTCTCTCTGGAAACGGCAGGTCGGAGCGCTTGTTGCTCATCCAGAGTAATCTCCGAACACGGTTGAAGCTCATACTGTTCATAAGGGCGTCTTCCTTTGTTTATGCATGACTGAAAATCAGCATGTGTAAGCAGATAAACCAACATTGTACTGAATAATATAATGCTAGTTTAGCTAACCTCTGCAAAATTTGGATATCTAGTGTACCTGCTGTGTTCAAAGCTCTTTCATCATCGATCGTCCATAACAAGGATCGCAACGATTGGACAGCATTAGATACGTATCGACTGCCCGACCGTTACAATCAGACGTATGACGATAGATACGTATCTAATGTTGGGTGATCGTTATGATGGACGACTCTCTATGAAAGCGCTCTTACCCGTTGGAATTATTAAACGAGGCATGCCTGTTTAGCAACCATCAAAGAGAGAAGACATTAAAGCTAAGTCTAACCGAAGGAGACTAAGAGGGGTATAGTACCTTGCTCGAGTTGAGGGTAGCAGACTGAGAGCGATATCTTCGCTTTTCGCACGGCGAAACCTGATCCGAAGATCCCAGGTTCACCCATGGTCAGGGGTGAACCTGGGTTCCCGCAGTGGGAAATTCCGCGCTGCGCATAGCGAAAAAGACGCTTTCTATCCTAGCGACACACGCCCCTTTTTGCCTTCCAGACTTATTAGAAGAAGGAACAATGAATCTGCGAACAAAGAATATTACTCACCCCATCAATGGAACAAATCCATCGATCAGCCTCCTCGTCAAGTTTTAGTGATTCATCGTGTGCAGGTGATAGACCATAACCCTCGTCAGGCTCCTCCAGCTGAGCATCCTCGCCCATCTTCTGAGCGAAGAAACGAGTAGTTAGTAAAAGGTTATTGAAGAACTGAACGATATCGCATCTTCATATTAAAGCCAGTAAACAGGGTGATTAATGCGAGAACTTCCATTAAACAACATTCAAAAGACTCTGAACATTGAACAAAAATAAATAAACAAACAAAATAAATATCCAACAAAAAGTTGTAGTTTTATCGACAAGGCACGGCTGGCAGCTCCACGAAAGGAACACGTCCATAACTTGATTTAACACAACGCGACGTGCCATGCATAAGATGCTATGTTTACCTGTCTCACAAATGAATCCACGCAACGGAAGCTTTAATCAATGTCAATTCCAAACAGCTTCTCAATAACACATTTTCATATACCGACTTCTCATACCATCAGAAGTATAGTGCACGCAAATCTTGGTGGTTGGAAGTCTTGGCCATTAAAAATATTCAGAAATCGTTTTGGAACATTCTCTTGTAAACACATGTCGAGGTGGTCAATGGTTTCTTCCCTGCACTTCTTCAATAGCACTTCTCAACAACTAAGAATGAAAAATCATCTTTACAGAGCATGCTCAACTGCTCTCGCTTCTACAAACCAAGAAAACGACGGAAGCAACTCGGCAAGAAACATGTGTAATGCCGTAGGACTCCAGATTGTCCTGCCCGGCCCGGTATGACAATTATTTGGTTGCCGATTTCCAGAAGCTTGAAAAAAGAAGGAATCCATTGGGTTTGTTCTAATGAATGAAGAGTTCTAATAAATCAAAAGATATTTGTAAAGAGAGCAATGCACGGGATCTGCGTTTTCAAAGTGAACAGCTATTAACTTTCATCCATTCGCCGTCAACGTAATGAAGTTGTGCTAAAAGGAGCAATTTTGGGCGCAATGTGCCTCGGGGGGGGGGGGGCAGTCGCCGCGCGCGCTTGCGGCAACAGGAAATTCGTGAGCCAGGGGGAGTGTAGCCAATTCAGGGGGGTTGGGGGTGAGGGCAGTCACATGACATGCGTGAGAAGCTGGAATGTTCGAATTTCCTGTTGCCGCACAGCCGCGCGCGGTGACTGCCCCCCCCCCGAGGCACATAGCGCCGCATTTGCTTTATGACCATTGGTCAACCGATGAAATTCTGCATGAACATTTTTTCTTCCCACTTGTCTCTTGTTTAACCCAACAACTTTGTTGGTAGCATCAAGTGAATTCTTAACGTAAACTACACGAGGATCTTTCCACACAATATTCTAAAAGCGGACTCCCACTTTCTTCCCAATGCACCAGCGCTACTTTAGGTGAAAAACACAGCAGCCTTTCATTACATAAAGAACAGGAGCAAGGTTATCCCTAAGACTAAGGCAAGAACAAAACGACAGCAATTCCCTATCGACAAAAAATTCGGATACTCGATGGAAAATATGCCCACTCTTCGAACAAAGATCAATAGCGAGCACCAACATAGTAAGCAATGCAAGAAATTCTCGACTTTTCATTCGAAAACCAAAACATGAAAGTTTTTATCAGTACGTTGCCAAAGCTAGAAATGTGAAGCGGTGGAACTACTAGCTCTACCATTAGACCGAGAGACGGAATTCATTATGGATTAGCACGACATGCACAGATAGCCTTCCAGGCTTCGGAGTCCATACCATGTGATTATTGGATTAAGTATGCGCTACGATAATTAGACACGATCACGGAATTTCGCATCCATTTTGAATGATGGTTGCCAAGACGTTGGCGCGCACCGACGCTACAAATCGCACCGGGACCCACCCAGTCGAGACAGCGCAGCGATTTAGATCCGAGCATTTCTTGGCGATAACGTAGCCCAGCTAAAGATCGTTCTAATTTTTTGAGAAGAGTTTCAGAAAGTGTTCATTCATCAACGTTCTTCATTCTGAACACCATCAAAGAGGAAACGAAAACAACAACTTCTCAGACAAAATGATGCAAAATTTGACTCACACATTCTTTACTATCATATTAGAAAGATCGAAAAACCGCTTAACCATATAATAGTTACTCGTACATTAACAAAAACGAAGAAATAACCGAGAGCAGTGTGAAGTGTGAGTATCAACCCATACGAAGAGGATTCAACTGAGGGAAATAACAGGAACAATCTTTTTTTTACTGTTCGATAACAAAAAAAAACGAAACAAAATACAAGATGAGCAGCGTTAGGTCAACTAAAAACATAGTGAATTCTGTACGAAAGTAGCAAAACAAAAAGTACACTGGGACTGAAAGCGATAACAACCTCTCTTGATGCTGATGCGAAAGTAATCGATTCCTAAAGAGGGTCGGTGACGCCATTGTGCGAGGTCAGACGTCTTAGCGATAAATCTACGGGGGGCTCGAACAAAGGCAGTGAGAAACAACCAATTGTATCGGATCGCTAGGCGATCGAAAGGCAAGGACCAGTTTGCAACAACAAAGCCGCCTCAACTCCTTCTTGTCGAACCAGTACTCCAAAGATTCGCTTCACCTTTTGCTCCCATCGGTCGAGCTTTCATATTACTCATCATCGATTCTCCAAAGATAGGAGTTGATTTTCCAATTGGTGATTGACGAAAGAAGCCTAAAATTTCATTACGAACAATTTTAGCATTACTATAGTAACCGCAAAATTAATCAGAAGTATATGGAACAGCTAAATATTGTGCCAAAATAGCAGCGCGGTGATGTTATATGTAGATGACGTAGCCCATACAATGCACTCCATCAGAGCGTCAAACTAGAAGGATAAAAACATCGCTGACTTATGAAATGGCTGGCCCTCACAATTTGTTTGCGTGCTGTAAGCCAAATTGCTCTAAAATCACTACGATGCGTGGTTGTCGTAAAAAAAAAAAGACTATCAACTCTGAGTTCTTCAGCATAGGAAGCTGCCTGTAGCTTATCACATCATTGTTACCGCAGAAACGAGTGCGTCTGTGCACCTCCTGTAATCCTTAGCCCTTGTCTCTGGTAAGGGATAAAGCACAAGGCGTTGATATTTCGTTTGTTTAGCTCTGGACCCAACTTCAAATCTCACGCCTTCTATATTCACCAATAGTATCGTCCAGCTTCGCCGGGCTCGACTCCTTTTGTTGGTGGGCATCAGTGTCACTTTGTACATCTATACTATCACCCTCCGATTTGAATCCCTCTATTCAGTGCACACTCAAAACCACAGATATTTGAACCCTGCCTTTTCCTCCTATTCTCGGAGCAGTGGAGTTTTCTCTGAGCTTCAAGCGTGATCGTAAATCACCCAAATCTAGCGAAGATACTATTACCTACTTTCGCTATGTCTACTTGCCATCATTCTCCTCCATCAGACATGTTATGCAACAATTCCGCATAAAAAACGTGGAATGATGGCAAGTAAACGTGGTGAAGTAAGCACTAGTACCTACACCAAATTTGGAAGACTTGCGATAACTCCTGAAGCTCACAATACTCCACGGCACTGAGAATAGATAGGGAAGGCAAGGGGCAAATATTCGTAGTTTCCAGTGTGCGCTGAAGAGGATTCAAATTGGGAGAGGTGATTGCATAGGTTGAGGCGTGCGGTACAAAGTGTACTGATGGGTGGACTGATGGGACACCGATATTTTCAATCGATATGCCCACCTCTTTTAACCCTCCTACGTGTAAATCTATATTTTCTGGCGTAAGCCCCGCTCATATGGTCGGGCCCCGCGTGCTACAGTAGCCGCTTTTGGCCAAGCCTTGCCTACTGCCGCACATGAGCGAAAGAAAACGCAGACATCCCTTATATTCAAAGTGGAAGTTGACACTAAGACGGAGATTTTGAAATAAGCCTCGCCGATCTGATCAGGATCCCCCTTTACCATAGCCACTTGGCAAAGTTCTGCACGCCCTGAGTGCAAAAGTAGGTGTCCTTTTACGTTCAAAACAACATGCAGATTGTTGACAGAAATTTCGTCATAAGCCCCGTCCATTAAGTCGGGCTCCGCTCACTCCTATACCCACTTATAACCGAGCCCTGCCTCGATTCGTACACGCCCTAAGGGCAGCCATCCAGACATCCGGGACCATGTTTTGTGAAAATAATGAAAAAAATGTTTTTTTTTTGGGTCGACGTAGCGAGCGAGCCTACTGTTTACACAAAGACTGCTTCATATGTAGAGTAGAAAGATGAGAATGACTATTTTTGCGAACCCTCAAGTTTAGATTGCTAAAACTGCTACAAAGAAGCACATGAGATGACCCACTTGGTGAGCTTTGCACAGATATTGAGGGGCGACTCAGCAGCGATGTCGACGCTGGTGAACGTAGGGTGCTGTTATCGTTGAAGGCACCTTCTTTCTCCCATACTCGTCGTCGTATGAACCAGTACACTGAAAAAGGTCATTGGGTCATTGGAAAGAGTGCACCAGCCGAACTATTTCTGTCGGATATCGAGAAAAGCACTCACGAGCGATGGTAATCACCCCGAGGGCACAGATCCACATCAACGATGGGATAATCCATGAGTAATGTTGTAGAAATATCAGAACAAAATCGGTGAAACCTGCGCTGTCCAAGGCTAAAAAAACAGTAATTATCAGAGTATGATTCCCAGTTGCTATGTTTTTCTCTGCTGATTGGCAAAAGAAAGCTTTTAGGTGCAGTTTGACTGACGAAGTATCTTGTAAGGAAGATCAGCATCGCGACAGCGCGTCTAGGAGTAGACATTAGAAGGGCTAATAAGATAGGTGATAGGCTAATCAGAACACTCACCATTATAGACTTGTTTAGCAGCTTGACCAACAATTCGGATGCGTACAGGAATGTGAACGGTTTGCCCTGTTACACTGTTCTCGATCGTGACCGAGCATTTTTCTGATAGATCAGACCACAACGCTGCCGATTTGATGTTCAGCTAAAAATAATTGCTAACATTCACCTTTGTCTACACATGACACTTCTGTTTATTTTTTTTATCATCCGCTTTTTTTTGCCGCGACCGCGATGCGAATTGTCACAACTGCGGCTGAGTTCGACATAACTTCCTGTCTCAGC